AGTAGAAAGATCTTTGAAGTCGGTCATATACTTCCGATGAGCCATAATACAGAGACTTATTAGAACATCGTGATTCGTAGTTCCAAAAAGAATTACTTTGTAAAAGCAGTAACTTGTCAGGTTGCCGTAGTTAGAAGAAGAAGAAGAAGCCATGATTAGGAAAGAGCGGAATCAAGTTGAGGCTCTACAGAGAATTCATCGCCATGGAAAGAAGACCACGTGAGATGATGACAGATTTTTTCGGTTCAAGCTATGATTTTGTAACATAACTCGTTGCGTGCAGTTTAAGTCAGAGAACTTTAATTTTAAATGATAGGCATCTTTAAATGTCCCTTATGACCTAATCACAACTCCGCAATTATAATGGGTACTTTTCACTGTTAAAGGAAGACTATTTTTAAAACATACCACTTACATAACAGAAGGATGATTTTTTAACTTACAGCTGTCTCCAAAAACTGTGTGTAGGTCCAGCCTCGCTAACAATTTGATAAATAAAACATAAAATGTCTTCTTTCTTACGTTCATAGTTCAGTTTTACTCCATACACTGAGACACAGCAGAACTGATGAGATAAAATGTATAGCTACAGAACTCCAGCCAGCCAATCAGCCAGGCGTTGTTAGGCAGCTAGTTAAGGCTTACAAGGCTTACGTTGGGCGCGACCTAACAACACCAACAACGCCTGACCATCGTCGTTCGAGATTAAACTACCTTACGGACGAAAGGACTTGACTTCCAAGTTCGATGTTCATGCTTTACACGTAAGAATTTCTTTTTCCAAACGTGGGGGGAACTAACGTGTTTTAAATCCCTTTAGAGAAATTTTGTCAAAAGAAGGCATTTCAAAATCACAGAAGAAACTGAGCTTACAATTTTACAAACGTAAATCAGCTTTGTGTTTTGGAATTTGTATGTGAACATTTTCAGGACTCTCGTAAAAACGGTAATTCAGTTACTGTGACTACAAATTTGGAAGTTCGTTCAGCAGTCAACAATTATTTATGTGCACTTTACCAAACACTGAACCACGTGGCTGCATTTCCACAGGAATGGGGAAGGAAATGGAAATAACTGAATAACGGTAAACACGCCAGCCAAATATTGACTCGACATGCAAGGGTCAGAGCAGTGCCGTCCCTCAGGGACCTGAATTTATATCGACTGTGTAGGTTTGAAGTTAAAGTAGCTTTTCCGTTTTCTTATTCCGGTCGCACTTGAAATCGGGAGCTGAGGTTACGTCGAGCGAGCAGAGCCTCAGGTCGAGTGTTTGTGTAAACTGGGCCTCGGATTCAGCTAGCCCGCTAAACGTCACCGTGACGTCAGTAAGAGTGGCAGTAGCGTGTGGCCGACCACTTATTTTTAGAGAAAGGATCACACATATTAACGATGTCCAATAATGCATCAGTTTAATGTATTAGTTTAAGCTCATCTTTTAAAATACATAAAGAAATACGAAGAGAGAAGACAGAAGGAAAGATAGAGAAAATAAAAAACAGATGAAAGGGAAATAATCAAAGTGAGAATGAGAAACGAAGAAAAAACAATATAAAGACAGAAAAAAAAGGAGCGAAAAACAACGAAAGAAAGAAGAAGAGAAAGAGAAAAAGAAAGAGGGAAAAGAAAGAGGAAACGAAAGAGAGAAAAGAAAGAAGAAAATAAAGAGAGGAAAGAAAGAGGCAAAGAAAGAGGAAAAGAAAGAAGAAAATAAAGAGAGGAAAGAAAGAGGCAAAGAAAGAGGAAAAGAAAGAAGAAAATAAAGAGAGGAAAGAAAGAGGCAAAGAAAGAGGAAAAGAAAGAAGAAAATAAAGAGAGGAAAGAAAGAGGAAAAGAAAGAGAGAAAGAAAGAGAGAAAGAAAGAAGGAAAAGAACGAGGAAAAAAGAGAGAAAGAAAGAGAAAAGAATGAGAGAAAGAGGAAAATAAAGAGAGAAAGAAGAAAAGAAAGAGAGAAAAGAAACAGTAACAGAAAGAGAGAAAAGATAGGAAAAGAAAGAGGAAAAGAAAGAGGAAAAGAAAGAGAGAAAGAAAGAGAGAAAGAAAGAGAAAAAGAAAGAGGAAACAAAAGAGAAGAAGAAAGAGGGAAAAGAAAGAGAGAAAAGAAAGAGAAAAAGAAAGAGAAGAAGAAAGAGGAAAAGAAAGAGGAAACGAAAGAGAAGAAAGAGGGAAAAGAAAGAGGAAACGAAAGAGAGAAAAGAAAGAGAAAAGAAAGAGGAAACGAAAGAAAGAAATAGGAAAAGAAAAAGAGAAAAGAACGAGAAAAATAAAGAGAGAGAGGAAAATTAAGAGAAAATAGGAAAAGAAAGAGAAAAGAAAGAGAGAAAAGAAGAGTCGGTGAAAATTGAAATACAAAAGAATGATGAAAATATATCGTTAATAAACACAACGAAAGCACAAAAGCAATGAAGAAACAGGTAGAAAGACTAAATTAAAACTGTGAAGCGAAAAAAGCAAAGGGAAAATAAAAAGGAGAAAAACAAAAAAAGTTAGTGGACAGGAGAGGCACACACATAATTATGTAATACTAATAGAATAAGGAAGTAGGTTGAAGTACCATCTTATAAATATTTTAGTGCCTACAAATCTACAAACTCATCCAGCTGCCATTATGGCTAGCATCTGCTTAATTACACACATGTCAACAGGCTGTATCACATGAATTCCCATTTAATTGACCAAAACTAATAACCGTTTCCAGTATTTACGCTTGTTAACTGCAAACTGAAAGCCTCAGCCAAAGATAGCAACGCGCAGAAAATTACAATTCCCTTATAAATTCGTTCCCTTTTATTCACACATCATAAAATATCAATCATTAATAACAATCCCTTCTACACAACATTAATTTTTGAGGCATTACAAACATTTTATACTTCTACATGTTTCGAACATACACAATCATCTTCAGGTAGATACTAGAAATGTACTAAATGCCCTTTGAGTCCCCAGGATTAGAAACACTAGTAATAATAGTCTAATTTGGATGTTAATATTTCCTCTCCAAAATACATGTAGACATTTTTATTACAGGCGTTTGCGATCCTGGAACACTCAAAGTACATTTCGTACATATATATACCTGAAGATGACTATGTAAGATCGAAACATGTAACATTAGAGAATCTTTATTTAGGAGTAATGTCTCTATTATTTAGTGTTATGTCTGACGACAGGTCCAGGATCCTTCCATCCTTTTCTCGGGCTGGGACCTGTTCATATACCTTCTTGGCAGATGATCCAGAAGTGGTTTGCCATTGCCTTCTTCTGTGTGTGAATGGAGTAATTGTTGGGATGCCACGGAGAAACCGGGGAAGCCCCGGAGGTAAACTCCGTGTTGCCTAGACCACGGCCTTGCCCAACACAAGTTATAAATTCGGGCACCGCCGGGAATCGAACCCGAGACCCCAGGATTACAAGGCCAGCGTTCTAACCGCTAGACCACCGTGGCTTCTAATGTCTCTATAAGAATGGTGTTTTAGATGGTTTTATTATCAACAATTTCTATTGATTACACAACAGGATGCAAAGAGTCGAGTCAATTCGTAAATATTTCAGGTGAATCCACGACAAAATTCCACAAGTTACGTAACTCTAATTTTCGAGTCACACACCATATCACAGGGTAATCACAACATCGACGTTTTTGGTTTTGTGGTGGCTCTCCTGCAGATGATGCACCATATTCGAATCGCAAACGAAAGGCGACTATTAAAGCTAAGGTATGCTGTGATTTTCCTCAGGTCCTCACAAGTGACGCAGTACCTTAAAACGTGCGTCGAATAAGTCCACATCGTTCCCAAATCATAACTTATAACCATCCTAAAATTCGAGACCATTTAAACGTTGCAACTGGCAATTTTCCGTCAAATACACCAACAATGAAATCAATAGGCCTGAACGTAATCATTATCTTTGAAGGTGACTTCTCGCTTTATTGGTGTTAAACCCATGATGTTATCGTTCTGTTTCATATTCGAGAGGTCCTCAGTTAAAACTTCTGTCACGTGTTCGGCTAACGTGACTGAAGTCTCTCATCGTGTTTTAAGTCTTAAGTTAGGATTTTTATCGATGTACTGAGGACGGCAATAATATCTGAGTAAGGACGCCAGGCTTTTGAGTCTCGAAAACAGCAACTCTCAGATACGAATTGGTACTTAATATTGATAATAATAACCTAGGTACACCAAAAACAACTATCGGAGATTAAAACCTGTTAAATGTCAGCATGTTGTTATGTCCGATTTAATTTTATTTGAGCCGAAATAAGAAGTCACCTTGTACTCTTCTATAGTTTCATCGAGGAATCTATTTTTTGAAGGATCGAGAAGTCGCTCAGTTATTCAAGATGCCCCTTCTCTTTTATAGAAATCAAACGTTTACTATCGTGTCCAAAATAACCTGTCACTGAGTGTTATTGTGAACCGGGCGAATTCTGACAACACTACACCCTAATCCGTTAAAATCTGTTTTAAAATTAGATGTATTTCAAAGTGGAGAAATCAGATTCCTTTGAAACACTGGTAACCATTGATGACCACACGATCTTGCAGGCAACGTAATCACAGTTTAAATTTTCATGGCCGTTAGCTCCTTTAATATCATCATTTTGCAGCTATCGTAGGTCCAACAGCAACAGCACTTCTCCCGAAATTCAGTCGACGTTAGTTTCTGAACGAGTACTCTAAAACTCTGTAGCTCGACCACAATTTTAATCAGCGGAAAATGTTTACAAAATTGTAACCATAAATCTCCTAATTAAAATCATACATTGACCCATAGATGTGTTTAATCATTGGCCTACACTGCCATTATTTCTAATATTTATCAGCTGTTAGCTATTTCATTTGCAGATAACCTAGTAAGATGAAATTTGCACTCAAGATCGCCAGTAATTGTATCCACGAATAAATGATGATGATTATGTTGACAAAAAAGACAGTACTACTAAATGTAATAGTAATAACAGTAACAAAAATGTATTTCCTCAGAATGAAACGCTAACCTGCAGCCACCAGCGCTGCCGACAGTAGCCATAGCAGCGCAGTCCACCAAGTCGTGTCCATGGTGTGGACGCCCCGGAATCTTATCCTGTGTCTCCCGGTCGATAGGTCCTTCTGGACCACTCCCGCACCATTTTATGCACGATCTGAAACGACAAAGGAATAGGCTTTGTCTTTCATGCAGCTCATTTGTCAGTTACCAACGTACATAGTCTTATGGGTACATTTTACAACAGTCCCTGTTGTACAGGATGATTCAAAAGTGCCACAAACATAAACGTCCTAGCTGGTGCAACGTGTCTTGTCACATGACTGTACGTTAACCAGTCCTTGAACAAGCTGTGCAATGCTACAGAGGTAAAAATTTGCTTTTTTACAGGTAAACTGGGAATTTTGAATCACTTTGTATATACCTTATTTCAGGGAACGACACATGCCATAACTTACAACGTTCGTCGTGTATCTGTCTTTTGAAAAATGACATGTCATAAGACGTCGACAATGAACATCGCGATCGACTAGTTATTAACCATATTTCGTATAAGTAAGGTTCCGGGTTCAAGTCTCTGCTCAGAAACAGGCTGTTTTGACTGAGGGTTTTGTACTATTACTCAGTCACTCCAGAAAACTTCCGTAATAGTACTTAAACCAGGACACGATCGCCTCCTTTCATATGTTTCGAATTCAATTTTTGCATCGTACGATATGTCTTTTGATAAATGTTACTTCTTACAAGAACAGTTACCATTCGCGTGGAACACCCGTCATCTGAGAGCATATAATGAAACGTATGTTGATTTCTCCGAAACGTTGGTACAAATTCACAAGCAGTCACAAACTAAAAGACTGACAACGGTATCTTCACCGCCATGAAAAAGACAAAATATCTTATGTTCTCAGCAAAATTTCATTCTTCACTGCATCGCTGAGAAATACATTTAATAGAAGTGTATAACGAGGCACTTTGAACTGAGCAAAATATGCATGAAAACTATTGTAACCGTTCTGTCCGCTTCCTGTGCAAAGACAGATCAGAGCGAGATGGTCATTTGCTCTTCTCATGGATACAATCAGATAAGTACGTCATTCTAGCAATTCAATTTGCGATAAATTTTCCGGATTGTGTAGACAGTTGCGGGTTCCCAGAAAGGCGAAACTCATCTGTAAGTCCATCTGCAGCACATGAAACGTCAAGTTGTGTTATGTAAATTAACATTCAGTGTATTTATTACATAAGAGCATGGCGCGCTATCGTAATTAAACGCAGAGCCTGTTTCCAATGGCTAGTACGTTACAACGGCTTAAGTTTTCAATTTGTCGAGCAGTGGAGTGTTTACTGTTTCCAGCCAAGAACTTGTTAATTTCTGTTAAATCCGAACCAACACAAGCTAAAAGCCATTTCACGTAAGAGTAGAATAAATACCACACATCGTAGTTTCTGCATTGTCTTTAATTTCGTGAAGTTTCGTTGCGTTTAACGGGGACTTAATGAATATTTTTGGTTATAGAAAATAAGGGTTCACGTCAATACAAATTACTTTTGAATTAATTTCTTCTTGCTACAGATATAAGAAACACAAATGATATAACCCTTAAATACAATCTTTGTATCCACATGTACATACCTTTTAAATCAGAGCAGAAGTAAAGTAAAGTTTGTCCCACTATACGCCATGTAGGCGCTTGGGGTGAGAGGGGGTATAGCTCCTCTGTTCCTTGACCTCGGCACTAGTTGGGGGTGAGTGGCCAGCATCACTCCCCGGCCGTCTTTACCCCCGGGAAAGGACCCCGGTACCCATTATAGAGGAGGCTGGGTGGGCCCCAGAGCCGGTCTGGACGCAGAGGCTAGAGGAAAAATCCTCTGCCCCCGTCGGGGATCGAACCCCGGTCGTCCAGCCCGTAGCTAGTCACTATACTGACTGAGCTATCCCGGCTCATAATTCAGAGCAGAAAGGTTAATTTAAAATCTGAATATATTTTTAAGTTGTAATATTTATGATAATGGATTAGTGTTGTCGGAAACGCTGAAGTTAAGAGATCACCTGTAGAATCTAAGCGAAGATAGGAGAATAATATTAAAATGAACAGAAGGGTGTGGACTGGATTCATCTGGATTGGAACTTTATGAATCGTTGAGTAAACTAAGAACTTTAAAGAATAACCTACTCCATGGAATAATTTACAATGAAGTTGTGTCACGTAGACAGCAAATCAAGGAATAAGTGAAATGTCTAGGGAACAGTGTACTTAAACCCTGGGAAACAAAGGCTTCAACACAAAACCGAAAGTGGCCTTAATAGGTAAAGTAAATAGGCTATTTTACACGTGCTTGTACTATTATTCGAAATATGCATTCTAGAAATAATGTTTCAGGCTAGTTCGAAAATAATTAATTTTATTCTCTATTCTGACAAACTCATGTGCACGAATAATTATTTTCCTTTCCTTTAACATTTTGTCGAAGAAAAGTTCGCTCTGTATAAAGTCACGATATATTGATTTTTAAACTCGGTAAAGCAGGCTTACTAATACAAAGAACACCAGACTTCCATTACACAGAATACAACGCTTCGTGTCCCCGTGATAATCCCCGCACACACACACACACATGGGATCAGACAATCAGCAGAGTACAACAATGCAGACGAACAAGCAGTCTGGATTATGACGCAGGGAATATAACACTCTAAGGTCGTTACACATTCAGGCAGGCAGGTGTTACATATTCAGCGCCTCATTCGCAAGTAAGCGCAAATATGAGGGAATATCCTGATTATGGAAAAAACGACATTTAAACGAGAGAAAACTTATAAATGTAAATGCATAGAAATAGAAGGAGGTTTATGGACTTCAGACCTAAATCGCCAGGAAGAAGTTTTTTTTGTTATATGATTGCGTCCTTAACATTATAGACATGGATATAATAAAAAACATGTTCAATTGTTTATCTCTTTCTTTTCTTCCTTTATCTATTTTATTATCAACCCTTCCTTTATTATTTTCTTCATGTTCGACTTTCTAAACTTCTCTCCCTCCTCCTAATTCACCATTTCTTCTTATTCGCCCCTTCCTCATTTTCATTAAGCCATTTCTCTTTAAATTATAATTTTCGTACTTATACACTATCTTATTTTCTCTTCCTTCTTTTTCAAAGTCCTGACCCGCCAATTGTGAAATCGTGCTCTGAAAGTATTAGGCTTGTCTAATGTTTGCGGGATTTCCGTTCTCACGAAAAGCACTTCCTTGTACTTAAAAAAAAACTTACACAAAACTAACTGAACTAAACTATATACGATTCGTAACCGCTCAAAGATGAGTTAGAATCCAAATTACGGTGAATTCGTCTAACCACGTCACATATGTGTATATGGGACGTGGAGGGAAATCTCCATTAGGCTCCAGGCTACAATAAATGATCACATTTACGTTGCGGTTAATATTCCCCCGTGTAAGATTCTTTCAGTCCTCGAGTAAAAGCAGGATGACAAAGCTTCTGAGACGGTCTGGTCGTGCTGCTCAAGACATTCTTTTGCGTCTGCTTGCAATCGAACCTCAGTCGCCCAGTCGCCGATTACTCTAATAACAGTTACCCCAGCTAATACGCATAACTAAAATAACAGACTTTTATAACACCAAGTCACAACGACAAGATAACAGAAGAATTGTATGTATATTGAAGATACGTGTTTAATTAATCTTTGATCTGGAATCTGATCATAGTGAATCTATAAATCGTCTTACGTGTTTCAAACTAGGTAGTCTTCGCCTACATGTATATGCTCGACCCATCCCATAAAATTATTGTACAAACAGAACGATTTACATTTTTTGTGGAAGATACAATAAGAATTATAGTTAAAACTGATCTAATTAATAGCGTATCAGAGTCTTGATTTAATTAAAGTGTCTCAAGAGAGGATTCACAGATGGGCTCTTGTGAACAAATTAAATTAATGAAATTAAAGTTCTACAAAAGATGGAAAATTTTTGGCTAGTTAAGCGACTCTTCTCCAAGAATTACTTATCTGTTACCCTTACACAAAGGCCTCTCCGCTTTAAACCCCGAAGAGGGTTGTCACTAATCACTCCGAAACGTTGCAGTTTTACCCTTCGGAAATGAGGCCGTATCCAGTAGTCTACAATGAAGGCCTCTGTATTGTCACGAAAATAACTTGAATCTGATCTCATTCATGGTTCTCTGCATCTTCTATCTTAAAGATGTTGACGCTACGCTTTCATAGCTGAAATATGAGACGTGAAATGACAGACGTAGCAGGCCCACACTACGTCACATGGACTACACGATTTCCTTACTTCGCAAAGAAGCGCTGATGTTAAGAAGCTTATAAACTTTTGGCAGCTACTTAATAACTTATAAACAAATATTTTCATGCGAAAATAACACACGGCACGTAGTAACCCATCAGGTATTTAGTGTTACGGCGTGTTTATGTGTCAGTGTTTAAAAATTAACTTTGCCTGGTATGTGCAAAATACATGCGAAACTAATACTGAAGATTAATTATTTACATATTAGTACGGAAAAATTAAAGGCAGGTTAAATGCAGGGAATACTTGCTAAAATGAAGTTCAGAATAAATTGCTTTATGGTTGTATACTTAAAACCCAAAGATATAACATGAATCAGTATAATTACACATATTGTTGCATAATTTAGAGTTGTGAAATGTTGTCTGAAATCCTAAGCGAAAAATATAAATCGAAGGTAACTGAGAACCAAGTGCTGACACAGTATAATTAGATGTAATATACATACATAGTGAATCAGTGTGCCAGCCGGCATCATCGAATTAGCATTTGTTTCTTAGTTACGGGCGTTTTGGTAGTGCATTACACCGACCCTCCTGCGATTTCGGAATGGCGTGTGCATCAAATTTTGCCAAAGACTCGCCAAAACGGCTACGGAAACCTATGAAATGCTAAAGAAAGCATTTGGGGAGTCCGCAATGGGTAGTTCACAAACTTTTATGTGGCATTCATGTTTTAAAAATGGCCGAACCTCTGTCGAGGGTGACGAGCGTTCTGGACGACCATCTTCGAGCACAACGCCCGAAAATGTTACGAAGATTCGGCAGGCCATTCACGAAGATCGACGTCGTACCATCAACGACTTGTGCGACATTGC